ATGATTGGTCTACTGGCTTCCAGATGAAATACGGGATGTTAAGAGCATTCCATGGAATATAACAAAAAGTGTTTCTGAAGTGACCCTTAAGTGTCCTCATATAAGAATAAAAGTCCAATCACAGAGATCAGAATGTGAACAGCAAAATGGTTATAATCATCGGACAGAGTTTATCTACACCAGCAGGTGGAGCTTCTGAGCAGCACACTGTGCAAAGACATCGGAAAATGGTCACTTCTTGTTGAAGGCACATGTTTTAATGGACTCACCGTCAGGGAGCACGCTGGGCTGCCAGTCCTTCAAGACTTTGTTCAGCTCTTCTCCAAAGAGCAGGTAGCACGGGTCGCTGAACAGGTCATCCGTCCGGCCTTTGGAGTGAAGATGCTTCAAACAAAGAAAATCACGTTTAAAAAAAAAAAAAGTATAACTAAAAAATGTACAATTAAAAAAGCTGGATTGCTTAATTGCTGCACACCGTACTGCGATGCAAGTGTCCTCATATCTATAAGTATCAACACTGTTGTTCAGAATGTGAACAGCAAATCACAGTATAATCATCGGACACAAACATCTGCACATTAAGAAAACAAAAACATTATTTCTGACTTTCTGCTATAACACTACAAGTTCTCATCCGTGCAAAAAGCCACAAATTAACTTAATGGAAAATACATTAGTAAAAAAGGAGGGAAATACAGAAGCAAGGCCCAGAAAAGGTCGCAGACAATTCCCGGTGTTTTAAGCTCAATAAAACTTCACAATAAACAACAGAATAGTTTAGGCTCTGTTTTTAGAAAATGATTAAATCAATCTTACATTTTTCTTTGAGAAAAACCACCCTCCAGAGGACTTTGGGCTCTCCTGCTCTCCTGTCTGCAGCCATGCTGTTCTGCTGCTGCTCTGTGTGAGGGAAGGAGAGACTGTGCGCCTCTTATATCCGTCCCTGTGGCAACACTCCCTCTCTCACTTTAGTTCCTACCTCTAAAATGATTACAAATGGCATTATAAAAGAAAAAAAGGAAAGTTGACTATGCCAAGTCTTTTTCATTGTTTTATGACATTATCTAAAATTGAAAATATTTAGATTTTATATAAAGAAATGTTATTTTAGTTATTATATTGAGTAGTTTGGAGCAAGTCAATAACTAGTACTGTGATAACACCACTGCTAACATCGCAAATATTTCCACGCCTTTGAATCTCTTTTTAAATAGCTTCCTAATAATTTGTTTTAAAAAAAAAAATATTGACAGAGAGGGGACAGGAAATGAGGAAGAAAAAAAAAGGACGGACAATGTCGGACATGCACCACAGGGCCGACCACATGGTCCATGCTTTTGTTTTTTAAGTTTAAACCACACACCACACACCAAAAACACACCACAAATGAGTTCCTGTTTTTCTTGCAACTGCTGCACAACAATTTCCTTTATGACTAATAATGTTATTATTTTATAGGCATAATGATTAGGATTTGTTTTAAAAAACAATTATAGACTGGATTAAAAAAATCTCAATCATCATTTAATTCCCATTAAAAACATGTGTGGCTGTATCTGAAGAAACCCTCGAACCCGCTGTCTCTTTTCTTTTCATTTTGCTGTGTTCATTTTGCCGCGGACATTTCTCTGTGTTAACCCTCATGTGAATTTATAACTGGCTTTCAAACGATTCCTATTTCAAATGGATTGGATTTACTGACATGTCGTGCAATCTCAAGGATTTGTGTCCAGCTCCAATGTTCTACTTTTTGGGGGTTCATGGTCTATGACTTGCTGCATTTGTGCTGCAGTGTTTCTGTAGTTTTGTCTCCCTGGTTTGGTACCCACCTGCTGGATCCCCAGGCAGAGGTAGAAGATGCTGTCCGCAGAGTAGCGCTCCCCTCCCGGCCGGCAGACCTCCCTCACAAACCGGGACAGAGCGGCGTTCAGCTCCTCTGAGCTCAGAGACAGCAGGTTGCTTTTAGACCGACCTGCAGGAGAACAAACATGGAGAGCTCTTAGCAAGAGACAAGAGAAATAAATGAAATGGAAAGAAATAACCATAAGGACAACAAATGAACACATAGAAATAATATTGAAAAATAATCAAATAAATAATTACAAGAGTTAATGTAAAAATAATGAAACACATTTTTATACACATTTTATATATTATTTTCAAATTAATTTTACTGAATAATTTCTTGAATTATTATAACAGCAGCTGTAGTCCTCCATGCTACTCAGCCATCAGAGTACGTTTATGATCCGGTTTAGCTCACCTGGTTTGGAGCTGTCCTTTACTTTGGTGTCGTCTGATTGGTCAGGAGACATCGCCCAGCGTTTCCAGGCGTTGACTCCATATCGAGCTTTGAGAGGCAGCGACCGCCCCGACAGTCTGTCTGCTGGTGAGGAAGACGAGGCACAATCTGAGCCTTCCTCCACCGCCTGCTTCTTGTTCCCCTGTAACACACACACACACACACACACACACACACACACACACACACACACACACACACACACACACACACACACACACACACACACACACACACACACACACACACCTTTAAATGGCTAGTAAAAACATTTTCTTTTGGTACTTTCATAAACACACCTCCGCCCCTCAAAGACTGCAACCACTGCTATTTAGAAATATGTATGGCTATTCTACTTGCATCC